TCTCACCATTTTAACGTGTGTTTTCACTCTTATCGTTTTAACTCGGTTGAACTTGAATAGTGAACGATACTTTAATTTCGAGAACAATTGCAGAACCGGCTTTAAGTTCCGCTAGTGCGAGCATTTATACACAGATAAACGAGCGCTTGGGCGGAAAAAATTTTGTCTCCATCCGTACGATACTCGCGGACGTGCCCTTTTGTATTAGCTTTTAAATTTCGTCTCTTTTGTTCAGGTGCGTCCATATTGCAATGGAGATAAAAGCTTTTTGGTAAATTATGAAATCTAAAATCTCCACGCAGACAATCCAATGACAAGTTTGCGATTATCCCTGACAAAACATAAAAGTGCGAACTCTGCTCTAGCGAATACTGATATTTTTGGTTTATAAATTCGACGATATCCTGATCTTTTTACGATATTTATGGCCGAAGAATCAAGATAATGAATCGATAATTATCCTTTTCAGCTCCGAAGTTATGTAGTACGCAACGTTCATCTGCAAGAAGAGAAGGGACATTTTATGGGTCTTTCGCAACACACGTCGGCCATTCGCTAGGCGAGGAATTAAAAAAAGGTTACTTACTAAATATTTTCGCATACCAACTCTGTTGAATACTCTCGAGGAATTTTAGGAAGGCTCTTTCACCTTACCTCGCTCTCTTTTTCGGGGATAGGATTAATTTAAGCAAATTGACGATGGGCGCTTCGAAAGCTACGGATATGCAAAATGCCATTAAGTAGGAGGCGACGAAGTTTCCGAAGTACACAATGAGCTGGGAACAGAAGAGAAAAAGCATCGGTTATTCCATCTTTAGATGCCAATTGTAAAGTTTCATAGTACTTCAAAAAACAACTGGGCAAATGTGCGCGAAAATTTGCTGATTATTAGCGGAGTTCGATAGAATAATGTGAATTTTATCATTACCGTAAATGCCCCAGGTTTTGGCGTTCAATCGGCGAATGATGCGAATCGCGCACGACAATCCGACATTTCATCGTAATTATTCTAATAAAGCCAACATATATTCGCTCATAGAACACGAATATGAACATTAGCAGGACTTCGCTATTCGCCGAAGATTTTAAAAGCGAATATAGGCCATTGATAAGTACAAATGGTTGTATAAAAATAATCGACCACTCGATGCCTCGTAGCGTAAAATTATTGCCATGAAATTTTTGCGATCAGCCGTTAGTCATGAGTTTAATCGATATGATTGATAAGCGCTTAAATAGTAAAATTTCAATCCCATTACGTCGCTTGGCGTTTTAATTTCACTTGGTAGTCGGCGAGCCCTGTCGACCTCAAATAACCTCAAACCCCTTAAACCCCGTGCCCAACCCCACTTATCGATTCATCAGCCTTTCTTTCGACGATAGGCCACCGATAATATCCTCGTGGTTATTCCATAAGGGGGCAATCCGGCGGCGAACAATCTGAATAACGATACGGGACGATATCTCGTCTCCGTATCAATGCGGATCGTATGAATGTGGGGGCCCGGTAACGCCACGAATGGCAGCCAACATCGGCCACTTACGACAATGCCATTGTGTAGGTGCAGCGGGCCGTCCATTTGCGTGGACGTGAACATCATGATCATCGGGTGGACGAGGTAGGCGCAGTAGGTGAGTCGCGACAGGGGATAGATTATCCTGAGGGAGAGGAGTTTGTCGACGAGGGGCGCGGCCCCGGTGCAGCACTGGATCACGATGAAACTGACGGCGATGGCCCAGGCGGTGTGACCGAGGCTCGCGTACACCGAGCTCACCGTCACGCTGAGATTCTCCGGGTAGAGGCCGTAGACCAGCGAGCACATTATCAGAGACGAGCCGATCCAGCCGATCGTCCGGAACAGCTGAAAGCAACGTTCGTCGTTATTAATCGTACTCCGCTTGTCGTATCGTTTAGTTGGCAAGTCCCTTGCCTTCCCCTCCGACCCAAGAAAGAGAGTACTCTCCATGCATTTTATGGCTGTTTGTACGCGAGTGCCCATTGTATAAGCGTATGGCGTAAGTTTAAGATCAGCGGTCCAATGACTATGATCGTTCGGGACATTTCATTTCTTTTAGCCCCCGTGCCTGCGTATTGGTAATTATATTTTCCAATTTTCCAACCCGACTCTTACCGTGGCAATTGTCCCGACCTCAATTTCTGCAACTTACCACGTATCTGTCTTTCTCCTTACATCTCTTCTTTAACTTTCGTTATTGTTCATCTCCTTCTTATTTTTCTTTTTTGTTTTTTGTTTTTTATTTTTTTCTCTCTCTTGTATATTTTTTGTATATCTTGTCCCTAGAGAGTAATTATTTCGTCATACAAGACGAACGAAAGATTTGTGATTTTAATGCGGGCCATGTATTATCAATTTTAGCATCAACGATGAATTTCATTAGTCCTTATCACCTATTATCACCTCTCAGCACTTAGGCCTTGTTTGTCATAAAAAGTATATTATTCGGAATTTCATCGACCGAGATCCCGTTTAACAAGAGATGCCATTTTATGTAAATAAAGGTCCAATTTTATTTGAAGTCAATTTCCAATGTCATCTAAATTTTAAATACAATTTCTTTATTCATACAGCTTTACGACGCGTATATTCCAGCCAATATCTTTGAAATAATAAATAGCGCGCACATAGCCATTTCGCCATAAATCCAACGATATTAGATCGAATAAGTTTAAAATCTAATTATGACACTCTCAATGTCAGGATGTAAAAATAAATTGCTCTTTTCCAAAGGAGCGTGTAGTTGGAGGAGAGAGCGTAGGCGGGGAGAAAGATACTATTCGAAATATAATTTCGAGGACAGAGTAAAATTGAAAAGGAAAAACAATCAAGGCGTTAAATCCAATACATGGAGTCTCATCGGACAGGGGCATTAGGTGAAAGGATAGGACATTGTTCAAGGCGCTATCGACTCTCGACGAACACTCACCAGCGAAATCTTGATGCTGCAGTTGGTTTTGAAGAGAACATAACCGGTCATTGTGCCGATAAAGTACGGTCCGGCCCGCAGCCAAGGTTTGTCGTATAGTTCGTCGAACAAGGCGAAGGGTTCCTGAATCCTGTGCGAATGAAAAAGAACAGACCACGTCGTCTGCGTATTAGTATTCTATCTGGATTGTAGGACTCGTATATGATGCATCTCATCCTACATTTACATCGTTCGTAAATTCATTATTTTTAATGCGTGATAAGTGTGAAGCTTCGTGCTAGCGCTTTTTATATTTAATAAGCCGTCCTAATCTCCAGTCAAAATAATGTTTGTGCTCGTATAAATATATGCTGGGAAAGCTTATATAGATCGCTAATTTTAATAAGGAAACTGTTTACTTTACGTTTTATTTCTCTAAAGTAATGCGAAGAATAAAACAAAAACAAAACAAAAAAGTCGAAGAACAAATCAGTATGATTAATTAGAATTGCATTTACGATGTATTGTTGTCTATTTCATTCGATCACTAGAGTAATATTATAAATTTATTTTAAGTTTCTATTAATATGACTACTCATGATTGCATGATTGTGTATGTAGTGGGAAAAGTAGTGTAATATCGAAATAAACCTACCGTGTGCAATACAAAATTTATTATAATTAATTATTACATTAATTTATTCATAAAAAATCATGTACTTTTGTTAATATTCAATGAGATATTAAAACATTGAAATTTACCGTATTAGATGAAAGTAAAATTTTATTTCACATCGAGTAGTTCTAACCTTACTAGAAAGGCTTTGGTATTTTTTTTCTTCCGTTTTTTATTCTTCCTTTTTTTGTTTTTTTGTTTTTTTTGTTTTCTTTTGTTTAATATTGAACAGCATTGCGGCTCGAAAATTACTTTGATCTTCAAATTAGAAAGTTGAAAATGCCCGTTTAAACTAACGTGCAATTCCACCTACATGTTATTTAATTTTATATTTGTTTACTTGCATTTATTTCCTGTAATTAAATTATATTCTTGATTTAATTTTCCTCTGGCTTATTGAATTCCATTAATTTTTTTAATAGCTTAACAATATAAATTCAGACTTTCCCATAATTTATTTATTTATTTATTTATTTATTTATTTATTTAATTT